TATATATATATATATATATATATGTATGTATGTATGAGAAATGGTAGAAGTTGTTCAATAAATTGCAAAGTTATGATTAGAGATGTCCCAAAAAAGTATAAACCCATCAAATGGGAAGCTTGGCCTTAAACTTGGACACATACACATCAAGTAACCAAATCCAACTAAAAAATAAAAGCCATCAAAATTCAGGTATAAAAACGAGGTCATGGATCTTATGGAGTAAATAGTAGCACTATTTTGTAAGGCCAGAAAAGATCTGCTGATTCTGTTAGTGTCCATATTAGGATAGCATGACGCTTATCATTTGATTATCCAAGAAAGATTCATTTCAACCGTTACTTTTAAATTTAACTTTTTCTAATATTTTTAGTCAGATATTTCATTTAGCTTCTCTAATATTCAAAATGCATGAGGAAGCTAAACATTCATCATTCCTACCCAAACATATAATACAGCCACATCCCTATGTAATATTTTGAAAAATTCCATGCTAATTGGTGACGAAAAAATGCTAAATACAGTATTGTGTATACGTAGACCCAAAATAGAAAAAGCGTGCACCACTTATATGCGTTAAGTGGAAAAGATGTCAATATCATTATTTGGTTAAAGAACATGGTCCATAACTCCAAATTACATCTATTACTTTATTTGTTTATGGAAAGGAAAATTATATCGTCCAGTATTTGTTGTCCATAGCAATGACACAGATAATGAAGAGTTTAGCATTGCCACCAAATGAGTCTCTCGGCAGATGAGTTAGATAGGAAATTCTAAATGGAACTTCTTAAGATTTCCTATTGTGACTTATTTCTGCAACGATATTTAATAAGAGCCAGCATCAATTGTAGAGATATTAGCAAATATTATCAAAATTGTTTATTCACATGCAACCATGAATGTACTTGCAGAATTGGATTTAAGATAATTTTAGCATCACACGTTGAAGGATCATTAAGTGCAAAAGATGGAAGGAAAAGGATAGCACTAGAAAACTGTAAATGCTGAATATAACCAGAATCAAATAAGATGCATTGGATGACTCATTAAAAATATTCATTGTACATATTCAAATTGTAACATGGACGTCTTTATGTATTTACCCATGTGCTCTTTAGTAGTATCATGAAGCACGTTTATCTCAAATCCGACCTGATCTACCAAGCTGATTTTGCTAGTCTTAGAAATACCAAAGCATTTTGATGAGGCTTCGTGAGAGGATTTATTGCAAGAAAATGAATAAAGTACTAATTTCAAAATTTAAACTGAATGTCAAACATATCAATCATATTAGGCAGAGTGAAATTTTGCAAAATAAAATGTTACATTCTAACAGGTTCGTTGTTCTTGGATGAAAAAAAAAATATTAATAAATATTCACTTAGTTTTGCTTTTTATGCAACTTAAATGCCATGAACATAGAAGGAAAACTTTAGATTAAAAGAAGAAAACCGTGAAAAAAGTGTGTTTATCCATGTGGTTAAAAATGGAAGATTGCTAGACCCTATAAAATTAGATAATTTTTAGAACTAACTGAAACTATAGCAATTTGCTAATATTACCTTGCACCAAGATTCGATTGTCGATGTAAATATAATGTGGGATCTTGAGCTCTTTGAATTCATTATTGTTACTCCAACCTTCTATATTTGACACTCTGTAGCAAAAGTAATTTGAAGTTATCCTTAAAAATACAGAAAATAATTGTCGAAGCACTATTGATATGACACATAACATAAACACCATTGCCAGTGTAGTAAAGCAAACTTTCATGTTTGCTAATTTAATCAAATTTTACGTGACATCCTCATAGCTGGTGACATACTCTACGATCAAATTCTCAACAGAAAATCCAATTTTTTTCGTTATCCTTTATCTGGAACAGTTCAGCATACTGGGTTAACCATAAAATATACATGAAAACTCACTGAAGCACTGTCAACAAGAAAACTATTGACTTACATAATTAGTTTAGATATTGGAAATCATATTAGAGAGTAGAGCCACATTAATCTACTTTTTATGTCTTTATTTATACATGCATTCGTCTTGTGTAAGTAAATCATGTTGGACATATCTGACATAATTCTTACAAGCCCAAACATATCCACCATCACTCTTCACGATGTATGCCACCATGTCATCGAACAACCGATGCTCATACCTAGGGGAAGCATATATGTCTAGAAAACAATGTGAATGGGCACATTAAGATTATATACATCAAAGATATAAAAATCAACCATAGTGAGTGTTCTTCAAGTTGCTTCGTCCACTTCTATTCATGTAACTCCTTAAATATATCCTTGAACGGTTGAACCTGAGATAGTGAAAATATTGATGTAAATGGTATTATACAGATATATTTCATTTTATTAATATTATAACGCTTGACCAAGCTTTTCATAAACAAATTACCCGCCATCATACTTCTTAAGAATTGTATTCTTTATGCTCAAGAGGAGAGACCACTGTTTACAAATGCCATTGCCTCTACGATTTTGCAAACGCTTGAATAGGCCAACAAATTTTCACAAAAATCCAAATGATGAGGGAAAAGGCTGTAAAAGTGGCATAAGAAAAGATTCAATATGCAGGTGAGTTGTGTAAAGACTAACCTGATCAACATTATACATGGCAAGGGTAACACAAGGTCGTTTAAAGTCATAGACATCCAATTCCAAGGGTCCTTCCCCATTTTCTGGCATTAGGAATGACCAGGGAAAGAACAGGAGAAATATTTAAAGAATGGGTTGTTCGAAATATATAGCTTATGGCAGATTTACTTACAACAGCTACAACAAAGTGAAATGACCAAAAACCATTTTAAGTTTTCCACATCTTTTTATGATTGAATTAGTGGCAACGTATTGATAGCCAATGGAATGTTAGCCAATGCAAATTGGTTTATTCCAACATGTAGAAAAATGATCAAAGTAAATAAATGGCGATATCATATATTGTATATATGTACAGAAAGTGAGAAGCAGAAGTACGAGGAACAATTTTGGAAATGTTGCTGAAAAGATTTGTAAACTTTAACTTTTATAAGAACTTTCTAATAAAAAAATACAAAAATTATGAAATAACCAATGGTGGAAGAATAAACCTTAAAGAGGAAGCTCAGGTTTAAACATGGGAGCCTCTGGTATCACAATATTCTTCAAAATCTATCAGTCACAAACATCAAATGAAGCACTTATGTGTATTAATTGCAGCAAGTGAGAGGCAATGAATTCAAATTTGTTTATTTATTGGTTATTCACAAAACATTGGGTCACTTCAGTTTCCATGATCATGTACACAACCTTTTAAGGTATAAAATTCTATTACATAAGTAACTAAAATGCCCAGTTGCTATTTCTGGAATTCAAAATTCCTTAATAGCTGCTATTGACAAGCTAACTTCGTTTCTATTCCAATATTTCTTTCTTTAATCATTCAGGCAACAAAAGGCGGATTTTTATAGGCTAACCCAAATAGTAAAGAAATTGCTAATTCTACAACGTAAATCAACATTAACAAGATCCAAATAAAAGTAGCAGATTCTACTCGTATCAAACGTAGACATGCAGCCCAGGTGCCAATAAATGATATCTTTATAAATCATTCATATACAAGACTGTAATAAGCTTTATAAAAAATTAATAATAAAGTATGAATCTTTAAACAAATAGCCCACCAAACAAAATAGCTTGTGAAAACTCTATTGCATTAACAAATTTAATATGCATATATATATGGTTAAGCACTACCAGTTTACTAATAATTTCAGACACTATTAGAGTTTTTTTTTTTTTTTTGAGTAAAATGATGAAAGCGTCAAAATTCGTATGTCAACAATCAAATAATAAGACATCAACACAAAAAGAAAAAGTAACTAAAGTGAAACTGAGACCAGAAACAGAGATCTAACCTCTTCCTAGCCATATTGTTACTTTTGGCTTCTTTTAATGATGTAAATCAACTATGCAAAAGCAATAGCAGTAGATTTATCCATCAATTGCATAAAAATAATATCAAAAGAACTAAAAACATAGCATAAAGGTTTTTGCTTGAATAGGTTGGAGAAGATAACTCTATCAATAAGGAGAACAATGTGAAGATAAATAAAAGGAAGAAAAAGATGCTAATTGTGGTATCCTCGCTGACATGGGCTTCTTGTAGACCCAAAAAAACTTGTAAATAGAACTCAACATGTAAGCCATTTGCTTGCCTTGCTCTAGCTTCTTTAAGGGTTATTACTTCCTTAGTATTGAATTTGATTCGATTGAATGGTACCAACGAAATCGAGTGCTAACTCTCATTTCTTACTAATCCATTAACCCTAGTCTAAAAAATCGGGACCCATCAATCAGTTGTTTCATTCTAATTAATTGATTTAATCCATTCTAAATATTAGAAACAGAAGAGAGAAATTTTTGCAAACATGAATCCCATTTTTAACAATTTTTTGTAAGAAAAGAATTTGATCTTTATCTCAGAGCGTCGAAGGAAATAGCTTTCTTTAATTTGATGAAAGATGAATTATTGTGGGAAACCCCCTTGTAATATTGAAGAATATGTATAATTGGTGATTGGCCCAAGCTATTTTCTAGAATTTATTGTTGGAAGGATGTGCATAAGAAAGAATGTTCAATCTTTTATAAAACAAATATTTAGTTTTGCATATGACAATAAAATATAGTATTCAAATATGATTAGTGCTAGAATGCAATGATTTTTTTTTATCTTATTATGTTCGTGATGCCTTCAATTTCTCAACACTTACATCAATTTTGCTACATGAATGAGTGTTGTTGCATTACATGATTGAGTATTCTTACATTACTTGCAAGTTTCGGATTTCCATAGACATATTTAATCATATAACAAAAATACCCAGAAAATGCAATAGAAACTTCCTGCATATAAAGTAAGAAATACCAGCAAGAGTAATCAAATATTTGAATTTACGTATATTTCCATCTAAGAATTAAAAAGTTAAGTCGAGAAAAAATTTACCTATAAAAATGTAATAATGAGAGAATATAACAGGTAGTATCAAGCCCGAAAGTCTTTCAAATATGTATAACCAAGATCATATGCGTAAGAAAAGAGAATAGTTTTAAAAAAACAATAATAATGAAAACAATGAGTACAAAAGTATAATAAATGGAAGGAAAATGAATAAAAGAGTAAATTTTTTATATGAAATATTTTTTGTAGATAATTTCTCACGATACGATAAAATTGCATCTCGTACAACGTGGGTTATGTGAAATTCTAAGGAAAAAAAAATATGAAGAGTTGTAAACTTACGTGAGTAAAAATGAAAGAATTTCCTTATATACATTTGTGGTACATCTATCATGTAAATGGTCACCATTTATTGGTTTAAGTAAAACTTTGATAGATTTACTTATTTTTGCCTTTGATAATGCTACATATAGTTGATCATGACAAAACACTGGTTGTGGAAGATATAAACCGACAAAATCTAGTGTGTGACCATGTGCTTTATTTATTGTCATTGCAAAACATGACCTAATTGGAAATTGAGTTTTTTTAAATTGAATTGAATTATGATCACTTTTTAGAAGTATAAAAAGGATTCTTGGCAAGAAAACATATTTTCCACAATATTCACCAGTTGTAATTTCAGCAAAAATTACGTTCTTCTCAAATTTTCAACAAGTAAGACATGTTCAATTGCATAACCCTTCTGAAGGATTAATATTCCGTAATAACATTACAGGGCAGTTTATCTTAAGCATCAATTCATGAGGAATACCATTTGGAGTTAGGCTATTAAAAAAATCCTCTTGTAAGCTTTGTTCCGACTTATCAATTGCTTCACCAAAACTATAGTATGTGTAAATTTCACCCGACATTTGTTCAAGTAGAATTCTGTTAATATGATCAACACATTCATTAGTAGGTGTAAGAATAACTCTATTTGACATTACATGGAGATCCTTAGAACATGCTTCTATATCTGGAAAAACATTATGTATCAATTTTTTTAAAGATGTAATTTCATCTTCAAATGGTAAAACTATACTTTCTGAAAGTTTGATGCATTTACAGTTATGTTCTCTCTCTATTCCATCTCCAATTCTTAGTAAGTAACCACGAAATGTGGGATCCAGTTTAGCCCTCATGTTTTCGATCAATGGTAGATGCTTATATAAAGGCCATAGATCCGAAAAAACTAAGCTAGCTTTCACTATATCTTGCTTTTTCCCTTTTCGCACGACTGGTAGAATTTGACGAAAATCTCCTCCAAGAACTATAACTTTCCCATCGAAAAGTAAATTACAATCGGTAATATCTCTTAACATTTTATCTACAGCAGAACGATTGACCATCGGTACTTCATCCCAAATAATTAACCTAGACATTTTCAACAAAGTTCCTAAAGCTGGTTGCTTGCTAACAAAACAACATATTTCATCGACTGTTTCCAAAAGAATCTTAAATCTTGAATGAACAGTTCGACCGCCAAGTAAAAGAAATGTAGATACTCCAGATGATGTTGTTGCCAAAGCAATTAAATTTTGTGACCGTACACCTGCTAAAAGTGCTTTATATAAAAAAGTTTTGCCAGTTTCACCTAGACCATTAATGAAGAAAGCACCATATGATTCCGATCACACTTTTTCCATGATAGTACCATATGCAAATTGTTGCTCTTTATTTAATGTTACTGCACAAGCAAGTCTTCCTTAAGTATCAAAATTAGTTGTCTCCTCTTCAACCATTCTTCTCAACCTTTCAGTCTCATCTATATTTACATTGTATGATACCATTGCATAATCATTTATGTTTTTACCCAATGATTCCAAAATACAACTAATGTCTTCTAAAGCTCGCATTTCAGCAATGTTTGTAGGTATATTTTGATGTACATAGTCATCAATCGTATAGACCTTAAATTTATCCCACAATAGCATTGGATTACTAGGATTACAAAGCGTAAGAAGCGTAGCAAAGAGACGTTTTAACGCAACAGGCATTTTATACAAAAGAATTTTAGACATACATTCTTCACAGTGATTCTCTCCACTCAATAAACCATGTAGAAGTGCTGCATCTCGATATGTTGGAGCTGTTATGCCATTCAGAGTTCGTAAATGATGGAAGGATATTAGTCCTCTAATACGATTAAGAAGAATACGAAGAAAATATAGATCTCCTTCAAAAGGGTTAGCTGTGACAATTCGTCCTATAACAACATGTTTCTTCCTAGGAGTCCAAACTTTGCTATTTTTATTTCGAACAAAATGTTTTGAAAAATCTCGATACAATAATGTACAAGCAAATTCATCTATTTCATTCATTCGAAAAAAATTCAGTTAGCATAGTTTTCCTCGTACTGTCTTTCTGAATAATAGTGAACAAATCATCCTCATCAGCGTATGTTACTTGTTGATGATCCTCAATATGAAGTTGTAAAGAATAAACAGATGAATAAATATCAGATAAATCAAAAGAAAAAATTCTCCACATAACTTTAGGTGGAGATATCCATCTAACAGATTGATAAGCTAAAATTTCATCAATTTCTTTGTTTGTTTCAATTGTGTCAATAGAAAAATTAATACGATCATGACCTTTATAAACATACTTATAGAGATATTTAACGATTTTAATAGAAGAGCATACTCCGACATTAATATGACAGTCAAATTTAGCACTTAAATAAGGATTGTATGGTACAACCCAACAATTGTCTAACATTTGACCTCTAACTTTAACAGAAATACCATTATTACATCGCATATACAATGGGTATACTACATTACCAAATACAATGCTATTATAATAATCCTTCAAATATTTATTTTTACAACCTTTATTTGCTTCCATACATACATTCTTAGGATTGAGATTTCCACAAGGATCATGCATATTGTATTTAACAATAACAGAATGAAGATAAGGGTATTTCTCTTTATCAGAAATTTCGCAGGATACTACCTTATCAACCTCCCCAGCACAACAAATTTTGTAACCACAGTTAAAAATTAACAGTAGATGTTTATGAGAGAGACATCTTTTCTGGAATTCAATCATATATATATGAGCAACAACTCTTCTAATTTTGCTCTAAAGATACGTGCAATTAAATATAGTCGATTCTGAATATCATCATTGTTTCTTAGTTTTTGCCTAATCTCTGGCCAATTGGGATTACAAGTTACAGTTAAGAAATATCCGATTTTCCATATCGTTGTGCAATAGCCATCGCATCCATATATCTCTTTAATAAATCTCTAGGGTCACCTGTAAAAGATTGTGGTAAAACAAACTTTCTTCCAATTTTTTACCCCCTTGTCTCTCCATTTTTAACACTATCTACAATGTCTTGATAAAGTTCAGCACAGGTTTTTTTTTGTTATTACAAAAACAATCTAATCTAATTGTCTCAATCTTAACATACATATCTACAACATATTGTTGGAACAATCTACCAGTATGAAGTAATACGAACGTACCAGAAGACCTGATTTGTAATTTGTATGAATAATATTCTCGACAAGAGACCTTAAATCGTTTCCTCATTTTATTAAGCACTACATCACATAGTAGTAAAATAATCAAGTATTCACTTGAAGCATTCAAATTGCAAAAGATACTAAATTCACTAAAATGTGTATCCGCTAACCTGCATCCTCTTTTTCAAGAAGTTCAGTTGCAGAGTTCATTGTGTTAGGAAAAGCAACAAAATCAGGCAATTGCTGAGGCGAAAATAATGGGCTTCTATATCTTTCAATACCTTCATGCCAACCAGATTCCCCGTATGGAAAGATTATAGGATACCACAAAGAATCATAACAACCATAGTAATAGTGAACTTTGTGTAATTCACCAGAATGACCATATATAATAATATCACAAATACGAATATTTGCATTTTCATCATCTTCAACCCATACAGCAGCTACTTGAGATGTTGTAAGAGTATTGAAAACTATTTGATCAACTCCTGGATCGCATCTTATTTGTGTTCGATGATGTTGCAAGTTAGTGATATTACTTAAAGACCTAAAAAATTTACTATAAGGATTTACTTGTAGAATTTGCATTAATATAGTCAAAGTAGATTCAAAAAAGTTCTCTAAAATTTTCATACGATTTTGAAGTTCATTATCTGTATCATAAAAATATAACTGCATATAAGAAGATGTATTATTATTTGGTATAAGTTGATTTATATAATGATGCACTTGCCCCTGAACCCTAAATGTATAAATACATCTGTATCTTTTAAAAAGTTCTTTGTCATATTTCACGCCAAACGAAGTGAATGCAAAGTGGTTATTATATCCTCTTGCAATTTTCTTGAATTCTACATAACAATAGTTGAAGATATACTTTAGAAGGAAGGAAAAATGTGCCTTCTAGAATGCACAAAAGAAACTCAAGAACTAACAACCTATTACAAAATTTATAAGTTACTATAGATAAATAACCAAAATAAACTTACAACATAAACCCTTGAACAAAAACCTATAAATAGGTCAAGTGAGAGAACTTACCCAAAATAGAGTACACTGCTGTAATCATCAATTACAATGATTAAGAAATACAGTCGACTACTATATAACATAATCGTTAAATGATAATTACTATAAAAGAAACTTCATGGGAAAAAAATACAAAACAAGCTATGAACCTAATAAAATTGAAGGAAATATTTAAAATAAATAAGATAAAATAAAATACCTGAAGATAATACAGTTTAATTGACGTTGAAAATTTTAGTATTTTTTACTTCGGAAACGATATCTCCCAGTCTGAAACAAAAAAATTAAAATAAATATAACATTCATGGAATCAATAAATTCATATGGAACCCTTGAAATTATATGAGATAAACGAAAATCACTAACAAAAATTAAGAAAATTAGATTAATTCATTAATTCTAAAAATTAAAAGCTAAGAAGAAAACATGGACAAAACAAAACTTACTTTATAAAATTATACTTCCTTATAAGGTTTTATTGCTAGTACATAACAGCAAATAGTGCATACACACACACACATTGAAATACAGGAAATCAGAACTTTATACCAACGCTATTCTGCATCAATTTCATTAAAATTAATGCCCTATTGATTCAGTCGACAAGTATAATCGATGAAAAGTGAATTATTATAATTACTCCAATAGCTAATGAATAAGGCATATCAAGACAAACAAATCAAAAATATGTAAACATCATATATCCTTTTTATTTCCTTCCCCAACCATAAATTATAGCTTTTTATTAATTTCAATAATAAATCAAGAAGCTTTATTATTTTCAAGATGCTAAAAAAAAAAAAAAAAGGAACTCGAGAGCCATCAAATGGACAATTCCTACAAATGACTTCAAACAATAGAATCAAACAAAAACCAGCAACAATACCTCTTACATGATGAATGATATTTTTTAGAAGCAACTAATATGTAAAGACAACTTACTTTAATGGCTTCAAGTTTCTTCGAATATGAATCTAGAATAAAAAAAATGCAACAAAAAGAATACATTAAAAACATCAGACGGATAGTATATGTGGATTTCTAATGTAGGTATGACAAATGGTTTGGATATTAGTAAACATGAGCTACATATATGCACAGTTTTGTTTCAAATATGTTTGTGATTTGTAAATAGCACATTAGCCTCGAATCTCCAATGAATGTAATAAAAACAACATCAAGTGCTAGAGTGGTAACTAAGGGTATCATGTAACCATTCATGAATTTTTCAGAATAAGAAATATATGGTAGATGAAAGAGCAATTCTGAAAAAGACTAAGAAAAACATATATCGCAGCAATTAAATAATTACATGTTAAGTAGGGGAATAAGATGCATAATTACTTTTCGGTGGAAAAATACCAGAATATTATTAAAAGTTTGAAGAAGAAAAATGTCGATTTTAATTAACTCTTTTTTTTTTTTAAGAACATGCTTAAAATAAATTCTTCTTTTTTTCATCATCTGTAAATAAATAGTATGAATTAGTTTGAAAGTAACCAGCAAAAATGGTGAATTGTCCTAGATAAAATGGATAAAATATCATCACAATTAAAAATCCATACAACTCTAAATGAAGTAAAAAAGCAGATAAAAAACACAAGTCTAAAAAAGATGAATCTATGGATTTACTTAATGTGTCATCTTCCTGACAATTGCAATATGCCCAGTTAACTTTGATAAGCCTCCCAAACCAGAAAACCATAGAATACAACATAAATGTAAAGTGTAAACCATGCAAGATTACTTCAAATTTCAATGCTTAAAACTTACATATGCTTTCAGTTGAGAGTTATTATTGCAAGTGAACCCAAACTTAAGACTAACATTAATGTTCCAGTCACTTAAATATTCAAAGTGGGAAACAATAACATGATTGAATCCAAATCTATAAAATTTCCAAAAAACAAAATCATTAAATACAAAGACTGTTTTGAACATAAGTATATAGTTAAACTATATACCAGGGGCCCATTCATTTTTTTCATATGATAATATACGTCATTCCCTATTGTTCTAATCTTAATGATATTGCATACAATGAAAACACACGTGACAAAGAACTGTATTCCAATGTTTGCTTATGCAAGATGAAAATAAATAGCAAGAAATGCTGAACAAAGTAAAAATGGTGAAAAAACTTTACCTGGCTGGATCTACTGTCTGCATAGAATGCAAACAATAATTTATCCATAAGGTTCATCAGTGAGGCGTGCAATTGACCCCTGGAATTATTATAACAGTAACTGGGGTTAATTGAAAAATAATAATACCATCACAAATTAAATATTGAACAGTCTATAAGTTAATATGACAGAACTTGTACACGCAATAACCGCGACATTAATTATTTAAGACACTAGGAGCATCAATGAAGATTCTGTAAAACATCTCAAGAGGACATGTGATGTGGTCGATTGAAATGCGAATTCTACCAACCGTTATACTCTATGATACAAGTAAAAGCATTCAAAAATACAAATCTGATATAACTAAATTAATATGTTCATAGAAAACGGATCCCAAGATGAACACAGATTCAATGGTTAATTCTGACATGAATATAAACTTTTCCCTGGTTTATTAATTTATTAAACTTCACATAGTCCAAACTCTTGTAAAAAAAATACTACGAAAAAGGGAAAAAAAAAAAATCATAAATATGTTTTCCTTTTAACCACCGAAGGTGGATATTTACGGAAAAAAGATAAGTCTATATTTAAAATTGATGTACATTCCAAGAAGATATAAATTTGAAATAAAAATATAATTCTGAAAAATTTAAATTAAAAAAATTTCCAGAAAACCAAAAATTACAAAAAATAAAATAAAAATAAAAATAGTTCAAGCTCTTAATAAATTTAACATAAGAAATCTAAAAATATATTTAAATAAATGCAGATAAAAATATTCTTAGTCCATTTCATTAATTTTTATTTTTTATTTCATATATTTTGAACTCAATTTATTATTTATTTTTATTTTACTTTTTTAGTGAAAAGAAAATATTGTAAGATTCACTAATTTTAAAATGTATATGCTACTTGATAATATATTAACATAAAATTGTTCTATTTTTACCGAATAATCAAAACGTAGTAGAATAAAATGTCATAAAACAATTTTCAAAATTTCAAACCAAACATCCTTATTATTTTCTGTTTTGAGAAATAATTTTTCAAAATAACAAATCAAACACGTTTTTAGCAATATTAAAACGGACCCTCAAACAGAAAACTAAAACACAAACCAAACGACATTGAAATTTCGCTTATTTCCAACTAAAAGCATTCTGTCTCATTCCCCAAGATGCAAGCTAAGATCCCCAAATATAAATAACTTAGGACAGTCAATTGAATTGCTAGAAAAGCCTTAAATACCTAAAATTAGTTAAAGGAACAAAGTCAGCAAACTTCCCGCATCCTGGTTCATCATCAAAACTGTGTGTGTCAAGAGCAGCCCTCCAAACTTCTCCATCATGCCATACAACATCATCTATGACAGGTCATTTATCGCCATAGCTCTACACGTATATGCATGATTAACTATAAGAAAAAGGAGATATATTGTGAGATGTATGGGAATAAATCTTGATAAAACCAGATAAATGCTCAAAAAATATCATAATTCCTCCAATAGGTTATTAAAGTACAAACAAACTCGTAGTTGCTAATTTCCTAGGTGAAAGAAATATTTATTTACCATACCCAACCATTTCATTATAAGCTATTAAACTACTGCTAAATTTTGAACTATACAGTTCACTCAAAATGTGCGAACTTCTATAAAATGAGAATGAAACAACATATTTAGCTGTCTTACCAAGAATAATCACAATTAATGTGAAGTAATTGATTCGATAGCTGCAATAAACCATAAAATATATCAGTAAGTGTATGTAAATAGATAAAATTCCAAATTAATCCACCACAAATAAACAGTTTCCAATAAAAAAAAAAAAATCTATTAAGCAAGAACTAAAACTTCTGGAGCAAATCGAGCTAGACCAAGCAAAAATCAATTTTTTTTAGCGACATCAAGCTGGACGGAGCAAAAATCAGCTAAACATATGCTAGAACTATAGTACAAACTACAGCCAAAAAAAGAAATATAGTCGAAGACAACAGGTATCGGAAAAAATATATTGAGCAAAATATGTGGCTTTCGGAGCAGATCGAAGTAATTAAAGAATAACCCAACAAACTTTTCACATCTCACACGAGGAAAACGAAAAAAACCTTAAGCAAAACTACAAAAAGTAACAAACTAATCCACAAAAAAGCGAGAATCTAGCACGAACTGAACTTTGTCGGCTGGATCGAGCTAAACGAACAACATAACAGTAAAAAATAAGAAGAGAACATATTGTTCGCTAAATATTTCTTTCGATTTAAGTGTACGGGTCTTGACAAGTAATAAAATGGACTTTAGAAGTCCGAATATCATCCCACAGAGAAAGAGTAGTTCGATTTTACTTATTTTAGCCTTAATCGAAACTAATTGAGTTGAAATGAATTTTGAAATCAAAAACCCTAATTTTGGGAGAAATCCCCAAATTGAAAAACCCTAATTTCAAATCAAACCCTAATTACTTAAATTCACTTAGCTAATAACTCAATTACGAAATGTTATGAAAAATTAAATGAAATGTATTGTCAATTTATGAAAGTCTATGTAAAACGAACGCACTAGGATCACGAATTCCCAAATAATTATTGATTAAATCCTAATTTCACAACTTTGATAAATCAATGCTCCTAAATCTATTCAACACTCTCTCTCGAGATGTGTTTAACCTATTCTCATAAATCATCAGCCTATATCTCTATGACGGATGCAATTTTACAAGAACGCATATAATCTTTTTGTGAACAATTAAAGATTTACATAGGGCATAGGGATATATTTCTATCCCCTATCGGACCCTATGATGAATTATATATGTCGAGTCTAATCTAATTTTCTCAAATTCAAAATTAAACCACCAAATTCACACAAATCAAGTGCACATTAATTGTGAAAATAAATAAACCAATATAATCCATTCAAATATCCATCAAACTAATAATTCAAAATCATGAAATAGCAAGTTTAATAAAAATTACATAGTTCATCGATCACCTAGTTGCAAAAATCTAGCCTATCATAATAAAAATAATGAAAACTAACAAAATATGAATAAAATACATCACCGGGTTATCAAAGATTGAAGAAATCTCGTAAATCTCGCATCAATTCTTGTTCTCGCCTTCAATTCCACTCCAAGATGAATGTTTTTGCCTCCCAAATCGTTCGTGCGGCTTCTGGACGTCTTGTTGCTATTTAAACTCGTCCAAATTAGGTTACCAAAGGAGTTGCAATCATACAAGGAAACTGCAAAATTCGGGAAAAATTTATACCTATGCAACCGCATAGGCATAACCTATGCGACCGCATAGGTTTAGGAAAAACGCCATTTTTCATCCCTGGAGGTTCACTCGCGGTCGCATAGGTTTTATACTATGCGACCGCATAGTAGAGTTACTTTCTTGTTTGAGTCATTTTGGTCCTCAAGTTTCATTCCTTCACTCCTTGACCTCCTCTCTTGTTCCTAGTTGCTCCAATGGTCCCTTATAACTTCCAATTGATGCTTGGCTTGATCAATTGTTTGATGTGTTCATCGGATCAACTTTCAGACAATTGCAATTTGGTCCCTGAATTTTCTTTTTGCTTCAATTTGGTCCCTTTTCGGCTCTTTTCTCCTGAACTCCACTATTTTCATAGAATTTCCTACATTGCATGAATTTGACAAAGTTAAGTAACAATTAAATCAATGTACCTGTAATTAAGTCATGTTTGTGATGTAAATAAGTGTGCAAAAACACACTTATTACATACTGTAAAACTAGAAATGGGGAGAGAGAACCAGAGATCTAATCAAACATGCTAATGAGAGTAGAAGATACTGGATGGTTTCTAGAAGCAGAAAAACAGGCAAATTGATGAGAGTCGAAGAGGCTGGATGGTCTCTGAAAATAGATATTTTAGTCTCTTATGATAGGACGTCGTTTCCATTTTATGAACAGTAGTCGAACGGGTTATAGTGTGAAATGGAGAGCACGCAAATGAACGATTAAATTAAATTCCCTGTTAGACTCCATTCTTTCCAAATTTTAATAGTTAAAATAATGTTTTTTTAAAAATATGTGGTTGAAAAAGATTTTTTTTCTTTATAAACCATGAATTGACAATAAAGATTTTTTCTCAATATTTACAAAAATAGCAGAATTATAATATATCACCAATATATATTTTAATACATTCTTAATTCACTGCAAATATGCCAAAAACAATATTCATATCTAGCATAACAACATCCAATATTACTACTTTGAATTTGCAAACTTACTAGTTGGACCGATCACATGGTCAAGTGAATTAATTATTATAAAAAAAAATTATACAAAATGATAAATACAATTATAGAATTGGATACTCAAGGTTCTAGTTTAGAATCGGACTAGAACCTCTAATTCGATTGGGGAGGTTAGATTCCGGTTAAAATGTCCACTCTTAAATGATATTTGTGATTCTCGACTCTTGTAAAATGAAGAGAGTAGCTTCTCGACTAATTTTTATCATATCAAGGTTCTTAACCTCATATGAAGGTTATGTTTATAGCCAATAGCTTCAGCTCATTATAGTTAAAATATCACGTGATGATAACTTTAACAAAATATCTCGACGGGATCTACAAACTATACTACCCTTAAATTCAAAATTTCAAACCAATAAATAAAAAATGATTTTATTTCATGTTTTTCTAACTACTAGCTGGCAATTGAATTCGATGATGGAAATGCATGAATTTAGCCCAATGGTCACCCAAGATTCATAGTGGCAATTCATGGACATTGCCATTTTTTCTAACGCAAAGTGTGCCCCAATCACCATCCATTCCCTCTTTTAAGAATTACTGGCCTTGGTCCATGCAATGCACGTACTTGAGTATTTTGAAAGTAATGTTAGTGTTTTGAATGTGTCGAATTCTCGTAGGTAATATTTTCATTTTAGAATGTGCTATTACTAAAATGGGATAGACTTGTTTATAGTTAACGTGCAATAGAACATCGAAGATAAGTGTATAATGTTTAAAAATTA